GTATATAAACAAAGTTCTTTAACACCTTTGATAACAACCGTAAAATATTTACAGTTTCCGAAACTTAACACACCATTTCAATATATTATGCATTAACTCGTACTGTAGATTAGATGGATTAAGGTTGCTTTATAGGGGTGTTATGCATAATTATAGTTTTGATAGAAACTTTGGTGTTGGTAAGGACTATTGATTCAACGGGGGGTACATTAGCATGTCGCATAATAACTTAAGCTTACTAATAAACTTTAAGCTGTCTGAAGGAAAAGTGACGACATTTCGCGTGACGACAATGTATAACATGTCAGTACAAAATTAATCTATGGTAGATAGGTATACATTGATACTAACACCTACTCTCAGTCTATGATAATAGAGCTGACATTGCAATACGGTTTACAAATAATTGAGAACTTTTACTTTACTTTAGAATTAGTGAGTATTGTAATAGAATACTTATATAAATGGCTGAAATATTACGCAGGGCAAGTGTTTACGACTTAGCATATATAGATATATAATCTGTATAAAATACCTTGACGATAGTAAATGAATAATCTGGACTAGACTTCGAAATTAACATGTCTAATGAGCACTATAAAGTGTTTTGCACACTTTAGTTATCTAGTATCTTATCATTTCTTTTGAGAAGTTTAATATAATTATCTATAATTACTCAAAGTCAATTAAAAATCAATTAGATTTCATTGTCTCATTCTTCTTTCATGTACTTGATTGACTTACCTAATGGTAAGTAGTGGTAACCCTCGCATCTATTATACATATGAACAGCAGCATAAACATACACTATCCTGTGACCCATGGTATTTTTACGGATAATTAGGAGCACTAATGTTTTACTGTCATAATTATGTACACTGTCATTTCTTACATTGCTATATAAATGACACATTATTTACACAGTTGTATAGAGTTAGTTCGTACCCATATTTTAGTCTCGCTGCAGGCTTTCTTCGTGTGAGCAATCGGGGTGGAAGTAATTGGATTTAGATTGGATCGAATTAGGAATTTTCTTGGTGCCTTTTGTTTTCATGGAAAATTACTTTTTGATGGAACGTACCTATCAAAATCAAATTTGGGCGAGGGCTGATTTTGTTTTCCGCTGCGAGTGGTTACAAAACGAGTTGGGTTTTATTTTATTTTTATTATAGGTTTTTGTTCACAACACAGGAATCCATATCTATTTCTCTATCTGTTTTTGCCTCATCGATAACACCATATTTAGTATATATACAGTATAATGTTTATGTAGATAATCATATCTTTTTATTGTAATATTCCTGTTATAAATGAGTTAAGAATATAGCTTCCAAATATGTGCAACTTGAGTCAGTTTTAAGAGATTGAGCCCTAACTGTATACAATCTTTTGTCATTGTATATACAATCTGAGGTATTTTTATTAGTTTTATTGCAGAATAAAGAATAAATTACTAACCGCTAAAGCTACTCCTACAGCTTAATGGACTTTAAATTTAATCCTAATTTATATTTACTCAAATGAATATTTTTTAATTAAAATAAATAAAATTGACAAGACTACATAACAAATGTACATAACAGATGATTGTATATATTTTGCAGACATAAAATAAATAAATAATTTATTATAAAGTTGAATCAATAAATATGTCTTACGTAAAGTGCAATACGTTGACTAGATTTTAGTTTAATATTGTTGATGCTAACATAAAAAATAGTATTAAACTTCGTAAGTAAAATACTTCTCAAACGGAATTGTTATTTGGAGATTCTCGTTGGAAACGTCATGTCTGTAGTTGTTTATGATTGCAATACGTAGACGACAAATATTATTTTATTATCAGTCTGAATTTTGAAATTCCAACATTAATTTTATAACCAGCTAATATAAACTTTGGTAGAACTTTGACAACTGAGGTTGTTTTATGTATATACCAAAGACTCTCTTTTAGATATTGGACATAAATATGGCCATACTTAAGCATTTATGTATGCTATATCAAATTTATATTCCCACAATATATTTTTGAGCATTCTTGACGACTCTTACTCTCTTACCATACTACACTTTTTTCTGTTACGTTTACACAAATCTTAGATATAAACTACAATAAAAGCCTGACTCATCAACACCTAACCTAAATGATTATTTGCCTTGACCGAGAAAGCTGATTTATTTCAGTTATTGTTTTTAAAACATTGTCAAGCAATAACGACGAATATTTCGAAATTAAATTACTAAAGTTTGTTATGGGGAAACAATATAAAATTAAACATTGTGACTTGATACTTCATAATAGCACTACTACAAACAAATATGTACTATGTATTTTATGATTTTTCGTAAAACAATCCAAAATGGGATAATTAACGAGAGTGAAGCCACGGGTAAAAGCAAGTATTATAATAAAATAAAGAAGCCAATATTCCTGAACATATCACACAGTCAATCGAACTCTCTCCAATATTTATAATGTTTGCTTATAAGAAACACCGCCTGTCTTCTTGTGTCTATGTGCTCAGAATAAATATTGTTTATAGTATGATAGAATATGTGTATTTGATTTGCGAATTTGCCGGAGAGTGGTAAGCCTCGAGGCGGGTGCATTACCGACGCTAGTTCATGTTTTATTTATTCGTCTGCGTCTACTGCGGGAAAGTGGTTGCATTAGTACCGAATATTCAGTTTTGCCGTTTGCTTGTTTTACTAGTAGGTATTATTATTATCCAGATTGTTAATTCAGAGGTACATATATTTTATTTCTAAAAGGAATTTAAGAAAATTTGAACGATAATTCGATAAAAGCAGATAAAGCGGTATTCAACACAACTATATCGTTTTATGCTGACGGCCTAAGTGGTGGTAAGAGGCAATCACTGTATATATAGGTACATATACAACATCAAGGACATCATATCATTATGTATCACCCTTGGTAGCCTTGGTACACCTAATATGAAGCCACTCAACAGGATTAAGATGTAAGTTGTAAATAAATAAGGCAATACAGACAACTTTGTATAAATTCTTATTAATATGTTTGCATTTTCAAAATTAACACCGTTAATAAATCTAATTACTCACACCATCACATCACGTTGAATTCTAATATGATTGTAGACGTGTGCATGTCATTTCACCACTATGACAAGAGTTGACAAGCCTCCATTAATTATACAATTCGCGGCAACAATTGTCTATGTTTATGTAGCATAATCATATGAATACAAAATTAAATAAAAATTTATCTGTCTGTCTTTCTGTTTATGACCTTTTAACGCTTGAAATATTGACTCAATTGAGATTTTTGTATTGAACTTTCCAGATTAACTTTTCATTATTTATTTTCAGCTACCGACAAAATGAATAACATAAACCATATAGTCTAGTCATACATAAAAAATTAGGCCGAATTATTGCTGAAAGCAATATTTTCATGACATTCATAGAGTAATCATAGATATCTAGTTTTCAGACGGTAATATGCATTTTAAATTGCATTAACATAATCAAATTCTCTTGCTCAATTGAATTCTGACCACCGAATTAATTAAGGCAGAAATAACAAAATGTTAATGCAAACCACCATCGGACATGAAATTAAATTATTTATGCATTAAGCCAATACGATAAAATTATAATGAGCGCGTGCTTTTTGATCCTCGGATAAATGAAAAGGCACAGGGCGCCCCGCTGAACTATGCAATGATATAGACTTTTCTGGAAGTTTCCTAATATTATTTGGTGATAAAAAAATGCTTATCTATTATTTAGTGGTAAGTTTAATATATGGTGTCGTTACTTAATATATTCTAATATTTCAGTTGAATATTAAAAAAATCAATGGATATTTCACAATACCTAAAGTACTACAAATGGTAATTAAATATATTTCCGTTTTTTACCCTTGTTTAAAAATTTTCCATCAGATGCTACTCGTTTGCCAAAAAAGATAGGTTATGATAAGATATTGACTAATTATAATGAGTCAATTAATCCTCAGTCAGATATTAATCGTGTACAGCTTTATATTCAATAATACTGTAATGTACTGTATTATAAATAAAATAATAAAGATAATCTATTTTATTGTCAGTTCGTATTCCTTATAAAATATGGGTATAAATAAAACATAACATAACTCTGTGATTAATCTCAATTTATTGGGTCAACTTAGCGTCTTTATATCTACGTTGCGTCTGTCTCCGGGACGTCCCGGCCACAGGCTTAAACTAATTAGGGCCCCCACACAGTGTCAATGTTGACACGGGGTTCAGTTTAATGCGTGTGTCTCCATTAGTTCGCCGGGCTCGTCCACCCTTAGTTTAAACACCTCGTGTGCTGTGACAACTCGCCAAAATTGATTTGTGTCCGTTTGATCATTGTGAGTTAAGGCTAAGGCAATCTACTTTGTTAGGGGGGCGAGTTTTATCTTGTTATTTCCTGGTGTTTCTTTTCAAGGGGATATAATGTTTGTTTCTTTAGTTTACTCAATCGAAGGGGCTTAACGAATTGTTACGTACGACTGACATTTCGCTGTTTGTTCTCGTTTATAAAGAAAAAACATAAATAACAAAAGTAATGAGATGAATATGATAACAACAGGAGTGTATTTACGAATTACTAGTATATTAATATGTAACATTGTTATGATGGTTTATATTGACTAAATAATTTATATTATATCTTCTGTTTATTATATTTATTGTGATGAATTTCAGGCTCCATTGTGAGATGCAGTGAACTAATTACTTAAACAACCAAGATTTATAACAGAACCTAAATAAATCACACATTCGTCTTCACCCTCTGACTTCATTATCAGACTAATATAACGTTATTATAAAATTAAATATAAATTTACGTTGGTACGCCAGGTGTCAACTCTATCTATTGTTATCTCTATAAATAAATATAATTATTATTACATGACTTAAGGAAACACATACGATACGAGGCAATTAAACTATGATTTAGTGAAAATATTTTATTACTCAACGGTGTTTATACATTTTATATATTAATTAGGTGTAAAAGAGATATATTACAGTAAATTTCATAATAAAAGTTTATGGCTGTTTTCTTCTGTATTTAGCTGTTTTGACTAAATATCAGTACGAGGTAGTTAAGACCTTCTCCGCGTTCGCTTTGGAAATGTAGAGTGACAGAGGTCGTGCCCACTCCTCCTTCCTTCACGGTAACCTCTGCCTGCGTCCGAGAGAGATCACGTGCGATGATACCCTGAAAAAAAGTGATTGTTTTAATCTAACTTTATGATATGGTAGGTGGAAGTAATAGTGTAACAACGATATCCATGTTAATATAACACTAACTGCGTCTACGTTAATTTTTCACTCCATTCTAGCCGAGAGATCGAAATTACGACAGCCTGAGCCGTAGCTTTTTTAATGGTTAAAATGTAATAGTGTACATAGTGCAGTGCATGGTTTACGCTGGCTGGGAATGAGTGGAGGATTATACGAACCCTTAGAGTTGCTCTCAGGCTAAAGTTGCATATGTCAGGAAGTATTTAACCACTTCATAAGTTCTTCCGTGAGTTTGTAATGCCCTCTGCACTAGCCTTTCCTCTGCCTGCCTCTCTCCCTAGCCCTCATTTTTTCCGGTGAAGCTGTAAAGGCAAGCGACGGCCAACAGCATTACAAATCTACTATCATAATTCGCCTCATTTCTTACTCACGTATTCTTCAACATCACCTCAACATTTAATATGTTTAGGCCACCGCCTAAACATATAAGTGTATATACTGTCTATTTGAATGATTTCTATACCAGAATGTAAATTTGTTTCATCATTTCATTCATCCGCTATTTATTATAGGCACATACTTACCTATGGATAAAACAATTGAAAATCGATAACGTCAATCACTATGTTCCAACTTTCCGAAAGTTGCGTTATACCCATCCCACGCAAAAACATAACATCGGTTCGAGTCGATTTATGTTAATACTAAAACGCTATATTGAAATTAGGTACTTCTAATCTCGAGACGTCTTGCGTAGTTGCATATTGACGTAGGTAGATGTCTAATTATTTAACTATGTTAGTACCTACGCGTGTCGATGACTCGCGAAATATGGTATCTATCCATCCATTTACTTAATCTTAATTCCGAGATGTCTATTTTATACAGTAACAAATAACAAGTAATTTACAAGTTCTTCTTCTTTTCACAGGTTTACTTTTTTCTTTGTTACATTTAGGCATATTTTCACACAATTACGTATGTTTCCTGTTTTTGTATCAACATACAAAATAATACATGTATTATAACTGCTTTTATTCCCAGTATGTTGTACTGGCAGTAGTTAGAGTAAAGCACTAAACATAAGTACAAGAGAAGGACATCTCAAAATAAAACCCTGTATAAAATCGGCAGGTCACCGTCATAATAGAACGCTAAAATCTTCTCGTATGAGGCACAGTTGGACCATATCCCTTATGGTCCAACTTGTCATAATGATTTTAGATCTGTACGAGTATGTACATAGTATAGTCTGTACATTACCCTATTCGTGACATAAATTTTGTTTGTTTTTATGGTACAATTAATTTAATTAGTTGTCCCATAGTGATCGAAATTTGACTATAATTCATTTAAATTATAAGTTTCCATTGTCAAAGACTATATATACTTCTACAATGACAGGCACTGATAGTTGTATATGCAATAAAATAACAAAAGAGGTTATATACGTGTGTGTCAAATAGGTGGTAGTGTGTGTAAGGATTTTTTTATTCATTTAATGTATATTTCATGCGTAATTGAAAATAAATTATAAGCGTTCTGCTCTCTTTCTATGTACAAACTATAAGTGTGCGTAATTTTATACTCCGTCTGCATAATTTTCGTAAAGAGGTTTGAAGTTTAGCTTCACATATGATGTAATGATTACTTAATCAATTATTTTCTACAACGTTTTGGAATACTTAGTTTGTAATTATTAGTTCACCCGTAAGTATTAGCTGTATGTATATTGTTAACATTTTCCTGCTCACCTTAATAATTCTTTGCTTCGGATCAACATAAGTGTAGTCTTTATCTCGTTTGAACAAAGGTATCCCTCGATAAACAACTTTCTCAGTCGATATCAGCAAATTATTAACTCTCGTGCCGTCAACGAAGTCTTTTGTCCTACATAATGTCACACACAATATTAAGAAACACAATACAAATATTAATTGCTTCATTTCAACACTTTTTGTCACAAAACATTTTAACGTGGTGAAGCTAGTGCAGATATTTATTTACTGACTTCATACTGAGTCATACAACTAACATAGTTCATAAGGCCGTGAATTTATCAACGCTAAACACGTTTTAACCTTCTGTATAGGGAATATAAATATACATGTACGTATGAGTTAATTTATTATAAAATGTTTTTATTAGTATTAATACATGTCATATGTTTTTATACTAATAAAAACATTTTATATTTTATATAATGAAGTTTTAGAGATAAGTAAGACAATGTAGATTATATTTCCTAAAATATTTACTTACAATTATTTATAAATATTGTATAAATAATGCACTAAAACTTTAACAGTCTAGGTAACTGATTGCTACACTACTGCATCTACACCAGACGTTTCAGTTTTACGAGTGTAATGCAAAATTATCTGACTGTTTATTCAATCAAAAACGAACATTTTGTAAATAGACAACAAAGATATCATATGCCATGCTCAGAATGACAAATATACCATGCTTTATAACTTTTTAACTACTTTCTATATGCGCTGTCACTGTTACCAATGTAACTCCACGAGTCTACGACATTCTTTGTTGAAAGTGTGTCTGAAGTATGCAAAAGCTCATTCATGCAAATAGGCTCATAAACGATTCTTCTAAAATTACGAAGCACAATGCGTTGGCACAGTTAGGTTTAATTTACTACCGACGTTACAACAACGCAATGCACTTTGAAATGACAGCGTAATAGAACTTGTCTTTCATGACATTTTCGCGCATTGGTGATGTATTTAGATATGTTAGTTAGTGAGGGTTACCACTATTTTTTAATACTAATATGAGTTCCTATTTTATTGTGTATATTCGTACGTATGTCGGTTTGCGGCTCTTAAAAGAATAAATCTATTTTGATGCGGTTTCTTTTGTTTAAAACAATACAATTTAGAAAGATCTGGGTATGCGTTTCAAGGGCATAAGTTTTTTATGTCTTAAAGTTTATCATTTGAAATTTTATACTTTATTGCCTATATTTGTTGTTGTTGTTAGCTTAATGTTACAGTATCAGGTAATCAAATTATTAAAGATTAATTGACTTATTTATAAGTGGCATATATTATTACCTGTATAGTGTAATTCAGAATTTAAAAGGATAATTCTGTTATCTGATGACAACCCTGCTTCTGGGTGTTATTTCAGACTCATCGAGCCACGTCACTTGCTTTGATCTTCCCTCGACTTTTTGCCGAGAACTTGTTTAATGTGACGACAAATAACTCAAACAGGAACGCGGGATTCTTTTTGATTTTATCAAAAGTGTGTACAAGATGTTTTAGCGTTTTAAATGCGTATACTTCATTAGTGAGATCACCCGACGCTTTCTGTTTGCAAACAGTTTGAAGTGCGCCTTTCAATGTTTGCTTTAAATGAGTGCTTTTTGAAGGTGTATATTTTTTTCGCAATCTTTGTTTTTGTGTACGCCAGCTCATGTATGGTATTGTATTGTAATGAGTTGCTCGTTTTGTGGTTGTAAATAATGCAATTCGTACACGTAATACTTGTTTTACACATGTAGTATGACTCACTGCCAGTGAAGCCTAAGGGTATGTGATCGTGAATCCGTAATTGGAAGTTAAACTATAATTTCGCCATATGGTAAACTTTATGGTAATATAAAGTGTTAGCCATATAAAGCGAAATTGCACTCTGACGAAATAAGAATATATATGCAGATCTACTTATAATATCATCCGTACTTAATATTATAAATGCGATCGTGTGTGTATCTGTCAGTATATTTGTTACCTTTGCTTGACTGAATGTCTGAACGAATCTTAATTTTTAGCGTTACGATGTCACGAGATCGATGATAGCAGTAATGCCTACATAATTTGAATAAGTGCAGATGTGTATGATACATTAATTGAATTAATGACTGAGTATGATTCCTAAACTAAATTCACAATAAATAAAAATATACAGCACTGTCTAGACATCCATTTCGTCTGATTGAGCTTGCGTACAACGGAGCGATGCTGCGATTCCCATTCACAGAGCAGATATCGGATAAATTGGCAGAATATCCGTATTCAAAAACGTTGGATACGCTAAGCTTAGGATTTTGTACGCATAAACTGAGCTAAAGCGAAATACGGCAAGGTTTAACATAAATAGACAAGATTTAAGACACAATAGGATTGCAATCAAGGATTTAATTTTATTATAATACTATTACTTAAAATTATATAAATTAACTTCAATTTACAATTTTGCTAACATATCATAAAAATAATCATAATAAATGAATATTTAAATTATGGAAACAATATATTCATGCTTGGATATTTTTGGATTACTTTTATACCTATTATTGTTGTGGGTTGAGTATTATAGATGGTTTTTTTTCATAGTCCTTTGAACAAAACTGTACAATAAATACCTATACAGTTATAGTTTTAGCTATAGTTTTAAATATAAGTTTAGCGTTGAGCTTCTTGCAGTAAATATTAATACTTAGGTCATTGATTCCATATTGCTAATTAAAAATTAAATAAATATAGATATTTTGTATGTATATTTTGTTAAGGCATGTGACATAAATATAATCTTATATAATTTGCTGAGTCGTGTACTCAGCAAATTTTATTATTAAATTTCTATTTTAGATCGGTGTTCATATAATATGATCATAATTGAGTCGACTGCGGTCAGTCAAATCAGTCAACCAATCCCCTCTATGAAAGCGAATTGATATTTCCTCTTCCCGCCATATTCATAGTTAATTGCGTTTCCGGACGTCACTCATTGTTTAAGAGGCGATCGATGAATTGTAATGCATTCTAACTGGCCACATTATAGGAAAAAATTGAAACTGTTTTATTATTAAAAGTGATACACAATTAGATTTAAGTTTTATAGTGGGTATTGTTATACGGCCATAAAAAGCACAAAAAATGTTAATGATTTTTATCCCTTCGTTCATAGAATAAACTGAATAGATATGATATTATGTTTACGAATATGTAGGAATAAGAAGAAGTAATAAAATATTATTACACTTCACCCGTGTGATAAAAAATCAAGAATACGGTGTGTTGTTTCCAGTTGTTCAATTCCAAATTATTGTAAGATTTCACTGGATTAATAAAACATAAATGAATCAACACATGGGAAGTAAAAAATAAAAACAACGCCATATACCTATTACAGATAAAAATATTATAAACTTACTTATACAAAACTGTCTAAGTTGTTTGGTGTTAGTAGGTTTAATTCTCATTTTGTCGAAATATGATGATGGTAAAGTTGTAATTAAATAATGTTATACTTTGAGTGTAATTTTTAACTATTTGCTAAAAATGGAATATATTTCTCCCAAGTAAATGTAATTGGACATTTTTTGGATCTCAGTTTATATTGCTCGTTAATATAGTCATACATGTATATGTATATAATATAGAACAAGGGGATTTTAAAATCTATGGAAAAGAATTATCGTCTATCCATTACATAAATATTCATAATGTACAACAAATATTTTCACTTTATATTTAGCATGGTTTGTAACAAAAATAAGTAAATTATTTATATAAAGTGAGTTTTGCAGGAAAGCGTTATCGTATAAAACTTTACTAGATACATTATGATGTTACACTTAAACATTAGGCTGTAACCATTGTAACTTTAATGTAACATCATATAACTAGTAACAATAAAGATTTCGATTATTACGTTGCGTGGTAGGAATTAATGTGGTGATTTTTTCAGTAAGCAGCGTGTTCGCGATATGGCGGCCGCTGTAAATTATACCATAATTATATACCACTGGTGTTTTAGTTAACGAACGCGATAAACTGCGTTATAAATGTTAATCAATAGGCTTATACTAACCGACCCCTATAATTTTGTATGACGGTAATTTTGTCCGGTTTTATCGTCCGGTATTAGACTTTACGCGGGTTGTTATAAGAGCGAGTACCTACTAATGAAATATTTATGTGCTCGTGTTTGTCAATATACAATATTATACTTTATATGCACGGCACATGTGCTGTGTCATATTCTTGATGTACACTGATAATATACCTGATGTTTTAGAACTTTTATACCCTGACTTTGTAAGAGGTTAATAAAATCGCTTAAAAAATAGACCTCCAATATTTAAAGAGAAATTATATTCAATACTCATCTTGCCAATATATAGTAATACCTATGTATAATAGACTGACGGTATGTATAGGTATGTGCGTTTACGGCTCATCGAAATATACTGACCTGAAACTGCATAGTTTTTATAGTATGTTAGTGTTGTAATAAATAAATAATGATATTTAATATTTCCCTTCATTCTATATATACATATGGAATGAATGGAAATATTATTATTATTATATCTAACTCAAAGAAAATTGACAATCAGGTACATTTCACTAGACTTTCTGAATATAGGTATGTACATAAATTTCGATATTGAATTGTTCATCATTTAGCTGCGTTCAATCCAACCTTATTAGAAAAGAATTAAATACGATTAACACATTGTCATTTTCGTTGGCAGAATAGAATGTAAAATAGAAACACATTTTACTGTTTCTATTTTCTATCATTATCCTTTTTGAACCAATGAAGTAAATACCCATAAAATACTATTATAACATGACAGGCATTAAATTTTAAATAGTCCACGTTTACATTTGGGTTTGATTTAAGCCTTCCATTGTGAAAGTATTATGAGTTCGTAATAAAATCATATTACAATGGAACGACACGCAAAGTATCGGCATAATAGCTAAAACACGACGTTACCTCGCGTGGTAGTCCTCCTGACACGCGATCACACAAAATTGTATTTTTAGTTAAAAACCTTAATTATTTTCTGTCCCCGAAAAAGTTTGATAGATTAAATACAATTATAATCGCTTTTCTATACAGTACTGAGAATGGTGGAGAACTAACAAATTAACGACTCTCCAACGACCACACACTACGCGGCTGCTCGCACCACGTAGAGTGGTGATCTAGACATGTCTAATAGATATTATAGTATTATTATATCGTGTAGATAC